CTTCCTTCCGAGGAGTGGCTGGTGGGTTTGAACCGCCAGCCTTCTGGGTAGCAGTCAAATGCTTTAGCTTGAATCATCTCAAATATGTTCTTTGCTTTCTTTTATTTTATACATACCATTAATTCCTCGGGCTAGATTGTATGCTAATTAAATGAAATTCCAATCTCTTACATATAATTTTGAGAAAAGGATTCTTTGTTAATTGCTGACTTTCTCTACCCTCTCTAGGCCTCAACCTTCATTTTCAGGATTCCCTGCAGTAAAAGGCTCCTTGGGCATAGAGATAGGAGATAAATGGCTGCAGTTTTCTCATTTTTATCAACTTTACTGGTTTCCATTGCCTGTTGCATTTTCCCCATAGAGGCCAGTGCCACAGGAATACTTCCTCAGGAACTTGAGAAATAGTATTAACAAGGAGATACAATCATGTAACTTCTTCTCTAAAGCACTGTACCTAAAAGGAATATTTTATGGTCGTTGGAAACCAGCATAAAACTTTTATTTCATAGAAATAAAGTTACCATAAAATATCCCTTATTAATTAGCAGAATCAGCTTGCACAGCAAGCTAGAGAAGATGGTTACTATGACTTCTAATTTTGTCTCCTAGGTTCCTTCTATCAATGAGACCCAAGACTTGCAAAAGCTTCTGGATGGTAGCTATGTATATAGATGTACGGTGGCTTAAAGAGGCCTGTATATTTCTAGTCCATTTCCTCCTGATGTAGATTATGCTGGTGCATATACAGAATACATGGTAGAATGATTTGGGGGGACAGTTTTAGATATTCCATTTCCACAAATTGAATAAATTATTGGGCCATTTTATTATGTTAGAGAACTGAAACATGGATCCACTCTGTAAAGTATAAATAAACTTCTGATAGAAACTTCTGATCATGGGAGTGGCAATGCGGCAGAGTCCCAGGGAAAAGCTTAGCTGCTGGGACTTTAGCCCCAGAAAGAAATTGGACAGTGAAGTTGCCCTCTGAGAGTCTTGGAGAAACCAGAATCCAACTGGTTCAATGGGAGGACATCAAAACAAAATGGCTCTGCTCTCAGAATAATCAAGGACATGCCAAAGACAGCTCAAGGACAGAGGGATGAAGCTGTCCACAGGTTGCAGATAAGTGGTCACAGTGGGTCAAAAACTAACTGGCATCTGTGGACTTCCTTCAAGGCTAAATACATCTTTTAGAACAACTACATATGGTAAATCAGATCAGAATGAATGAAGAAATGGTGTAGATTTTCTGACAATGGCTATAACCATGATGAAAAACCTACTGAAAGGCACTGAGGCCAGTGGGTGGGATGCAGCCTACCCCTCCTCTCAGATTTGTCTGTTTTCAATGGTCCAGTTTAGACCTAGATTAAATAATCCCAATTTTCAAAATAAATGTCTAATATTCAGAAAGGGAAAAGGATAAATATTTTAATGTCTCTGCCGGATTGAAAGTCTCTCATTAAAGCCAACTGTCTTTTATTTACAGATAGTGCTAGAAAGAATGTGTGAGGAGTCAGTCGTTCACTCATCACCTACCATCTCTTTCATCTGATCTCTGTAGATAGCGAGCAATGGTATATAATTGCTTTCCTTTACAGATTTCCATTGGAGGTCTCAGCAAAGGGTTGTCATCAAAATTTATATCCTTCAGAGAGAAAAGACTGTAGATACCACTAGGCAGAGCTCTCAAATTATTTCCTAGTAGGAAAAAAAAAATATCTTTCAGTAAAAGAAAACTACAGAGACAAATAATAACAATGAATGGGGCATATACTATGTCTCATTGGCAAGGTACCAGAGAATCCTCACATTGCTAGCAAGTCATAAATTGTTACTGTTGTCCACTTGCTAAGAATAAAAAGGAGGAGATACCAAAACAGAGCCATGGTTGCATTCTCTTTAGAGGATGGCAACGTGAGACAGGAAGCTTTCCACGTATAAATATATGGGAGCTCTGGTAGCATAGTGTGGCACTTGGCTGCTAACTAGAAGGCTGGTGGTTCAAACCCACCAGCCACTCCTTGGAAAGGCAGTTGGGCAATCTATTTCCATAGTGATACTACCTCGGAAACCCAAGGAGGGGTCGCTATGAGTCGGGTCGAACGTGATGGCAAACAACAACAACATATTAAAAAAAAAAAAAAAAAAACTCATTGCAGTTGACTCAATTTGACTCATAGCAACCCCTCCTTGGGTTTCCGAGGCAGTATCTCTATGGAAGTAGATTGCCCAATCTTCCTTCCAAGGAGTGGCTGGTGGATTTGAACCACCAGCCTCTGGCTAGCAGTCAGATATACCTTAGGCACTACAGCCACCAGAGCTCCCGCTCCCATATATATATCTCAAAGGACTTTACAAAATAAGCATGAAAGTAATTTTTAAATAAACATTATATTTGGAATAATTTTAGATTTATAGAAAAGCTGCAGAGAGTTCCTAAAATTACACCTCACCCAGTTATGCTATCATCTCACATTACCTTGTTACATTTGTCAAGTCTGAAAAACATTATTAACTAAACTCCTGACTTTTTTGGATTTTGTTAGTTTCTCCAGTAACGTCTTATTTTTATTTCAGAACCCATTCCAAGATACAACATTGCATTTAATTATGTCTTCTTAGTCTCCTGTAGTCTATGACAGTTTCTCAGCCTTTCCTTGTTTTTCACGACCTTAACAATTTTGAGGAGTACTAGTTAAGTATTTTGTGGAACATTCCTCACTTTGATTTTGTCTTATGATTACTCTGGGCTTATGGGTTTTCAGAAAGAATACCATAGGTGAAGTGCCTCATTACATCATATGAAGGGTACCTGATAGCCACATGAAATCACTAGTGATGTTAACCTCAATCCCTTAGCTAAAGTGATGTTGGCAGATTTCTCCAATATCATGTTATTTTTTCCCTTTCCATTGGGTATTCTTTGGAAGTGATCTACTAAGTGAAGTATATCCTCAAGTGGCAGAGGGCAGAGCTGGGGGTAGGAGGAAGGATGAAGGTCCTTCTCCCTGAATGGAAAGAGCTCTGGTAGCATAGTGCCTAAGGCACTTGACTGCTAACCAGAAGGCTGGTGGTTCAAACACACCAGCCACTCCTAGGAAGGAAGGTTGGGCAATCTACTTCCGTAATGATACCTCCTTGGAAACCCAAGGAGGGGTCGCTATGAGTTGGGTCCAACTCGACGGGCACATAACAACAATAACCCTGAATGGGATTTTTTCAACACCTCCTCAATGCAATATAAACAAAATATAAAGAGTATCTGTGGTAACTGACAAAGTAAGAATTTACAATCATTTAACAGAAATTGGCCTAAAGTTTGCCTTGATATTATTTATGATTGAATTTTTTTATATATTTATACTTCTATTATTTATAAATATTTTAAATCTTTATATATAATGTATTAATAAAGGATTTTTAGGTTTCTTTTAGTAAAGAATGTTACTTAGAAAACAGGATCTGGGCACTACTTTTGTTCATTGCTTCTGGGGATACACACACACATACATACACACTGGATGTGTGTGTATAATACATGTAGTATAATATATACTCCTCTTGTAATAAAACCCCAGACTCTTATGTGTGTATGTGTGTGTGTATGTATATACACACCAAAAAACTCCAGAAACAATGAGCCAAAGAAACTAGTGCTCAGATCTAGGTGTCTAAATACTCTACTCGTCACTGAAAGGAACTATACACACACACATTAATTAATACTGCTACCTCCAAAAGTCTGTTGGATCACCTTTCTTTGGAATAAGCACAAATATGGATCCCTTCCAGTCTCAGTGGACCAGGTAGCTGTCTTCCAAGTTTCTTGGCATAAATGAGTAAGAATCCTTTTCTTTTTTCATTGTCCAGCTTTTGAATGTGTATGAGGCAACTGAAAATACCATGGCTTGGATCAGGTGCCCCTTAGTCATCAAAGTGATATCTTTGCTTTTTAAGACTTCAAAGAGGTATTTTGCAGCATATTTGCAAAAAACAATGCATAGTTTGATTTCTTATTATTATTGTGATGTGGGTGAAAGTTTGCAGAGCATATTGGTTTGTCATTCAACAATTCATATATTTTGTTTTGTGGCATTCATTGCAATCCCTGTAATATAACAGCACTCATCCCACTTCCTCTCTGTGTTCCCCATTTCCCTTTGTCCTTCTTTCCTACCCCTCTTGCCGTCTTAGCTTTATGCCTGGGAAAACGCTGCCCTTTTGATCGCATATGGCTGATTGTTTCAATGAGTATGTACCTTCTTGGTATTACTGTTTACCTTATAGGCCTACTGTTTGGCTGAAAGTTGAGCCATGGGGGGTGAGTTCAGTTCCAGGCTTGAAGAGTGTCTAAGGGCCGTAGTCTTGGGGTTTTCACCAGTCTCTATCAGACCAGTATGTAGTCTGAAGCAGTAAGGCTGCTGCTTCTATGGGCATTGGTTGTGGATCTGAGAAGAATGAAATCCTTGACAACTTCAATTTCTTCCCTATTTATCATAATGTTGCTTATTGGTCCATTTGTAAGGACTTTCATTTTCTTTAAGTTGAAATGTAATCCATTCTGAAGGCTGTGGTCTTTGTTCTTCATCAGTAAATGCTTCAGATGCTCTTTACTTTCATCATGCAAGGTTGTGTCACCTGCCTATCGCAGACGTTAATGAATCTTCTTCCAATCCTGATGCCATATTCTTCTTCATGTAGTCTAGTTCTCAGATTATTTGCTCAGCATACAGACTGAATAAGTATGGTGAAAGGATACAACCCTGATGCACACCTTTTCCAATTTTAAATCATGCAATATCTCCTTGTTCTGTTGGAAAAACTGCCTCTTAATTTATGTACAATTTCCACATGAGCACATTAAATGTTCTGAAATTCCTGTTCTTCACTATTTATCCATAATTTGTTATGCTCCACACAATCCAATGTCTTTGTGTATTTAATAAAACTCAGGTTAACTTCTTTCTGATATTCTCTGCTTTCAGACAAATCTATCAGACATCAGCAATATACCTTGTTCCACATTCTGAATCTGGCTTGAATTTCTGCCAGTTTCCTGTTGATGTACTGCTGCAGCCATTTTTAAATTATCTTTAGTAAAATTTTGCTTGAATGTGTGATATGAATGATATTGTTTGATAATTAATTTCCACATTCTGTTGGATCTGCTTTCTGTGGAATGGGCACAGATATGGATCTCTTCCAGTTGGCTGGTCAGGTAGCTGTCTTCCAAATTTCTTGGCATAGATAAGTGAGTGCTTCTAGTACTACATCCACTTGTTGAAGCATCTCAACTGGTAATCTGTCAATTCCTGGAGTATTATGTTTTGCCAATGCCTCCAGTGAAGCTTGAATTTTTCCTTCAACACCATCAGTTCTTGATCATATACTACCTCTTAAAATGACTGAACATTGATCAATTCATTTGGTACAGTGACTCTGTATTCCTTCCATCTACTTTTTTCTTCTTCTTTGCTCTAGATGAGGAGAGACCAATTCCTCCCACCTACTTTTGATACTTCTTGTATCATTCTTCAACAACCCCCCCCCAAATCCTTCAGTGTCACAACTCAAATCTTGAATTCTTTTCTTCAGTTATTTCAGCTGGAGAAATGCTTAGTGTCCTCTTCCCCTTTGGTTTTCTAACTCCAGATCTTTACACATTTCATTATAACATTTGACTGCTGTCTTCTCTAGCCACCCTTTAAAATCTTTGGTTCAATTCTTTTATTCCACCATGTCTTCTGTTTTCTTTATTTTGTACTCCAGACCAAGTTTCAGAGTCTCTTCTGACATCCACTTTGGTCTTTTCTTTCTTTCCCGTCTTTTAATGAACTTTTGCTTTCTTCATGTATACTGTCCTTAACAGTTCCCATAACTCTTCTAGTCTTCGGTCATTTAAAATGTTGAGGGCATCAAATATATTTTGGGATTATCTGTAAATTCAGTGGGATATTGTATATTGAATAGTGCTGAAGAGCAAAGATATCTCCTTTAGGACTAAGGTGTGCCTGATACAAGCCATAGTATTTTCAGTCACCTCATATGCATGTGAGAGCTGGACAATGAATAAGGAAGACCGAAAAAGAGTTGATGCTTTTGAGTTGTGGTACTGGTGAAGAATGCTGACAGTACCATGGACTGCTAAAAGATCTAACAAATCTGTCTTGGAGGAAGTGCGGCCAAATGCTCCTTAAGGCAAGAATGGCCGGACTTTGTCTCACCTACTTTGATCATGTTATCAGAAGGGACCTTTCCCTTGGAGAAGGATGTCATGCTTGGTAAGGTGGACAGTCAACGAAGGAAGAGAAGGCCCTCAATGAGGTGGATTGACACAGTGGCTGTGGTGATGGGCTCAAGTGTAGCACGGATTGTGGAGCTGGCACAGGACTGGGCAGTGTTTCATTCTGCTGTGCATAGGGTCGCTATGAGTCGGAAACGACTCTATGACACCTAACAACGACATATTCAAGATTGTACTTTTGTTTTAGCCCTCTAGTGCCATTCTAACAGAAATACCACAAATGGAAGACTTTAAAGAGACAGGGATTTATTCTCTTACAGTTTTGGAGGCTAGAAGTCCGAGTTCAAAGTGCCAGACTCTAGGGGATGAAAGCCCCTCAACCTTGGGCTTCAGCTATGCCTCTTGCTCCTGGCCCCCTGAAGCTGGAGACTTTCTTTATTCAGGCAGCTGCTGA